GCCAGAGTAAGGTATATTCTTACCTGTTGACCCTCATGGCACAGGGTGTATGTAGCACATTCTCCCGTGTGTCTCCAAGCAGAGACCAGCAGAGGAATTCCTTGGTTGGTCCTCAGTGCCTGTGTGGATGCATGTCCCCAGTAATGCTTTCAAGAGACATGCAGGTCTTCTGAAACTGGGAAGCCAGCTTTTCAGTGCAGTGGCCTTGGAAGCCCATAGTCATTTTCTCTTTGACTGGGCACCTACGAATGTGTGCACATGAAGGAGGCTTCACACCCATTTCAGCAGTCTCTGTTCAGATGGGGCCCAAGTCAGAGCTGCTAGGTGGCAAGGAGGGGACAGATGCTTGATGGCTTAGAAGCCAGAGTATCAGTTTGCCCTTTTCACCACCCCCAGACTTTGTATTTTTGTTCTTACTGATTTTCAGTGTCTGTTTTTTCTTCTTTGCAGGAACCTGGGGACAGTTAGTTTTACTACTTCCTGACCAGGTGCCACTCTCAAACCTTAATTATCTCCATTTGTGGGAGGGAAGTAGAGAAGCCTCTCCCATCCTTTTCCTATTTGGAAGATTCACCTTAGTTGATTATTAGGAGCAAACAATCCCTGGTACGGTGGTGCATACCTGTAACCCAGCTGAGAGGGGAGGACTGAGAGTTCTAGGCCAGCCTGGGCTGGACCTTCTATCTAAGTGGAGGAAGGAACCGGGGGCACATTTTTGAACCTAGAAAAGGTTCAAACCTTTTATTGTATTTAATTGATCCAGGCGCATTTCTACTACTAGGATTTTGAATTTCATTGTTTATAAGCAGGGGCCAAACTGCCTACTAAGTACTCCAAAGACAGTAGGTGGTTTCTTCTCTCTGGGTCCAAAGAGCTCTTTCCAGAGAGCATAGCGTGAGTGGGCACTTCCATTCCCGGGTCATTGGTCCACAGTTATGTATGTTGAGTCAGGTCTAGGCTTTATTATAACTCTAACCATGAGCAATCAAGCTTTTAGCCAGTGTTTAGGGTTGTCTGGGTACTCGATTTCTTTGATAAAATGGTTGCATTACCAAGTTTCTGAAAAGCTCTCTAGAAAGTGTGTCCTTTTAAAGTGTATTTTTCCTATATACACAAAGGGGCTGGGGTGTTTATTTAGCCTAGCTTGATAAGAGAAACTTTGTATTTTTACTAGAGCATTCATTATGCTGGTTAAAGAAAACAAGGGGAGACAGTCTGTTCCCCAGTGATGAACAGTTCCTGTTCCCCAGCAAATTAATATGGTGTTTTCTGGGTCAAGGAAAAATTAGCTTACATTGACTGACTCCATAACAAGCACTGGGAACTTACCATGGAGTGACTGGCTGCAGTGAGTACTAGGCACTTCCCAGAAAAGGAGTGAAGGATACAGTTTCTGAGTAACTTAATGTTTCTGTGCAGAATATGTTCATCACTTTAACATTGTGGCAAAATTTTAATAGAGTATTTACTTTTTTATTGGGCTTTTAAAACAAGTGGGTTTTTTAACAAAGCTGCTCAGGGATTAAATCAGATGGAAACCCCATTCTGACTCCACATATTACTACAGAGAAGTTAATGCTTATCTTAAGCTGCAGAGCAGTGCCCTTTAAGCTTTCTTAAGAAAGTAAATTGTTGATGGCAGTGGTCACACATGCCTTTAATCCCAGCACTCAGGAGGCAGAGGCAGGCGGATCTCTGTGAGTTCAAGGCCACCCTGGTCTGCAGAGCAAGTTCCAGCACAGACAGGGCTACACAGAGAAATCCTGTCTCAAAAAACCAAAAAATAAGAAATGTGAAATGTGGGCTGGAGAGATGGCTTAGCAGCTAAGAGCACCGACTGCTCTTCCAGAGGTCCTGAGTTCAATTCCCAGCAACCACATGGTGGCTCACAACTATCTGTTATGAGATCTGGTGCCCTCTTCTGGTGTGCAGATATACATGGAAGCAGAATGTTGTACACATAATAAACAAATAAAATCTTTAAAAAAAAATGTGAAATGATTCATGATTTTACTGCAATACAACCTGAGCTACTGAGAGTTACTTTAGTGTTTAGGTAAACTCTCTCCGACCTGAAGAATCCAATCTCGACTGTACAGCCTACAACCCTGAAACACCCAGGGCAACGGTTTCATTGCCAGGTTCCCATGAAAACCTTTGCACCTCTGCCAGCTCAAACAAGACTCCAAAGCAGCAAAACATTTACTGTGATACAAATCCTTGTACTCAGTTACCAGGATCTGTTTGGAACTATGGCCATGCATCTCCGATGCCATTCCTTGAGCTCATAAGCTAGACTGTACCTGTGGGGAAACCATTTTATGTTAATTTGTTGTACTGTAGGAAAAAACCTAAAAAGCAAAAATATCAAGGTGATTTGAACTTGTGCTGTACTCTGATTTCAAACATAAAAACAGTCCTGTGTAGTGCTTTTGACTATCAAATACATAAAAAAATGAATCTTTGTTTATGATTCTTTTGTTGGACTTCTTTCCCTTATTTATAGAATGCTGTTTAGATTATTAAACAGTAGTCTTATTGCCATTCATTTCGTAAGACTTGGTATCTATATTTTGGGGTTTTTTTCCAGACAGGTTTTGTTTTTTTTGTTTTTTTGTTTGTTTTTTTTTAACTCCGTGGCTTTGGAGGCTGTCCTGGAGCTAGCTCTTGTAGACCAGGCTAGTCTCGAAATCACAGAGATCTGCCTGCCTCTGCTTCCCAAGTGCTGGGATTAACAGTGCCTGCCATCACCGCCCAGCTGCCAGACAAGATCTATGTAACCCTGGCTGTTCTGAAACCCACTGTGTAGACAGGGCAGGCTGTCTCCTTAAACTCAGAGCTGTCTCCTTCCAGGTGCCGGGAGTATAAGACATGAGTGTTTGTTGTTTATGTGTTTGCCTGTTTAACCTACATGTCTGCACCACACTCACGCCTGGTGTTCATGGAAATCAGAGTCTGATGCCCTAGAAACTCCAGATAGATCTGGGACTAGAACTCTAGTCCTCTGCAAGAGTAACAAATGATCCTAACCACGGAGCCTTACGTCCAGCCTCTGGTATCTTCAATTCTTAACATAATGTGATGATGTAAGCCATGAATTCCTGCTTCCAGGAAAATGATAGTCCATTAAAAGCTGGATGAACTATTAGGGGGTGCAGAGGTTTCCAAAATAGATGCCACTGCATAGCAGCTGGGTGCAGGTCAACTTGAGCATTCCCGATGTTTAGAAGGTTCCAGAAGTGGTTTTTTGTTTTGTTTTTCGAGACAGGTTTTCTCTGTGGCTTCTTTTGGAGGCCGTCCTGGAACTAGCTCTTGTAGATCATGCTGGCCTTGAACTCAAAGATCCAGATCCACATGCCTCTGCTTCCCAAGTGCTGGGATTAAAGGCGTGCACCACCACCACCGCCCAGCAAAAATTCCAGATGCATTGTCCAAGGCTACAGCTTATTAAGGGTTTGAAAGAAGGGATCTGCGGATTAAATAAAACAGCGGGTCACTCTTGAAAGAAGAATGCCAATTTTATTTAGAGGGGAGTTGATTTATATACCATCAGCAGCACCCTAGGAAGTAACTCAGATCAAAGTCCATGCTCTTAAGGCCCTGACAATATGCAGATAATTTGCATATTTGTAAACAGGCCGTGTCTGCAGGAGGGAAAATGAATAGCACCTAGCCATAAGGCAGCCAGTAGCTCCCCAAGGGTCCTGTGGATCAGAGAAGAAAAGCAGACTCCCAGGGGGTCCCCCACATCCAGAAGACTTTTAAGTGAGGTGATCTCAGAGTATGTGGATTGAGAAGAGTGGGCAGTAAAGGAGAGACAGCCCATCAGCCCAGGGAGAACAGAGCTAAGGGATTCATAACATCCCCGTTGCACTGGAGGCCCTCAGC